ACTCGCCCCTTTCCGAGTGGACGGACACGTACAGGAACCGCCTTGGTGGTTCGAGTTATTTCTTCTGCCACCATCTCCTCAGTGACTGTAACCTTGCCCATAAGTGTGTATAGGGCCACTGGAACCGTTGCGATTCGAAGGGCAGCCAGATCCGAGGCTGTCTCCAACTTAGCCTCAACCCTGCTGAATGATTCTGCAGCGTTTAAGAGGAGCTGGCGTGCTTCTTCATTTTTGGCTTTCATAGCGAAGCCGGTGGGAACACGATACACATGTTCAATATTGGAGGATGGAACCTCCACCAATTTAGTCACGGCATCTCTCACGCCAGCTGGCGAAAGAGCGCGCCATGCATGCTCCTCTCCGAGGCGAAGAAACAGACGAACATCTTTTGGCTTTGCAGTCACAGGTCTAGCTTGTTTCTTGACCTGTACTGCTGGGTTTGGGGCGACTCGAACAGTCTTCGCTGGAGCGATTGACTTTTGGGGAGAGCCCCGGGCGACTGTTGCCCAGGTCGATTTGGCCTGGGTGACTTGGCGTTGTAGCTCCTGACTGTTCATCGGAGTTCTTTCTTTGGCCTTGGTTATAGGACAACTCATGTTTTCCTGGCAGCTTGGGCGCTGTGGAAGGATTGGGGGGGCCGCACTGGGTCCCGACTTCATGAATTGAGCAATGGCTGCTCGAAGATATATTTTCATCGAGTCGATGAACGGATCGCTCGACTCTTCTGAGTATAGGGAGACCGCGGTCTCGACAGCATTGATCGCAGCAGTGCATATCATTATATTTTTTGCTGCTTGAGCTGCCCTGCGCTCTTCAGCTTCAATCATGGCTTGTAGTTCCGGGGGGCAGCCATTGATTTTTTGTTTCCTGCTTTCGCTGCAGGAAGGTTGTTGTTTTTCAGTCGCCACTGATGAGGGTTTGCTGGCGATCTGAGCAGGTGTGGCTTGATTAGCCTTATTCACCTCTGGAATTGCTGCCTTCTTGACAGCAGGAGCAGCAATCTTCTTTGATGTTGAAATGACGGAGGTCACAGGGACCACATCATCATTTTTCTGAGCGACATTCCATCTGGATTTGTCGAGACCCTCGATTATGTATTGGTCGATGACCATATCGCCCATTTCCACGTCTGGGTTTGTTGAGTCTGAGTCTTCCTGGAAGACTCTCAATCTTTCGGCCATCTCTGACTCCATCTTGTCTTGATCTATTGTATCGATCGATAGATTTCTTGCATCTAGGCGGTGTTGCAACCTGATTTTAATTTTCGCCATGGCTTTGTGCTGGCGCGCGGGGTGAGTGATTTTCGTAGGACCCGTCGCCATTTCGGAGACTCAGGGTCTTGCGACTATGATAATGATGAAATTAGCTTGTGAAACTATGAATTGAAGGGTTGAGGGGATGGGTAGGTGAATTTTTCATCAATTTCAAAAAAAAATTGTGTGATGCATGTGTGGGTATACTGGACCAAACTAGAACTCGATGGAATAGAGATAATGGAATCAGCGAGAGACTGAGAGAGAACGAGCTAGTCATTTCTCGTAGGAGAGAAATGATATCATAAGGGAATGTTCTAGCACTAGGCTGTGAACAACACAGTAGGTCTGGAGCAAGATATAAGGAGGTCTCAACCTCCCTCCATTTGTTGTAACCAAGTTTCCTTTATACGAGAATATAGAGTCAAGTCTTACACATCACGAGAACACACGCGACAACGACTATAGAGACCTACTGTGAGCATAACTTCCCCAAGAGTATCCATCGTCCTGCTCCCATATAGCCTAGTTAATATAACAGTGCGCGAGCACTCATCAGACTAGGGACTGCCCGAGGAAGTCGGTGCTTTGCTGCAACTGCGGCAAGGACCATAAATCGTGGCAGAAGGGGGCGTATCAAAACTTCGCATCATACAAGGCCAGCATGCAACAGGCACGGTATGAACTCATGGAGAGAACGGCGGAATTCAGGAAAGGTGAAACATCAACAACGGCATCTACTACAACAACTACAGCAAAACCTACAGACGACCAAGGGTTCACACTGGTGTCCCACCAAAAGCCGGAGGTACAAAAGAGAGGGCCAAGATGCCCGCGCAAACAGCTCCTGGTCACCCCACCACCACAAGTATTTGGACCATCGGGATCAAACTCAAGACCACAGTCGTCTCTTTTTAGCACGCGAGAGCAGGGAAAGAATGGCAAGGTCCAGTATAATTTTAGCTAGTCCTAGGACTGATGGCCAATTGCACTTCCTATAGGTAGCAAATGACTATAGAGGAATATAAAAGTTAACAGGGGGAGGGGGCTTTTACCGCAAGGTTCCCTCCTCATGTAAATATATGGATAGGTTCATAGCCGCCTGCATGGGCCCATAGGGCGCCAAATCTGGTTAAATGAAACCAAATTCAAATAAGTAAATAAATAAATAAATAGTCATAGACTCAGACAGGACAATAAAATGAATTAATAGTAAAGACAAAGGGCCCAATTTAGCTATACATGTTTTAAATACAAAACTGAGCTGTTCAATACTATTTTGTTAGAAGTTAGAAAAATTGGGGCTATCAAGTAGGCTACGTTGTTGACACTGACATGACTACAAAACATGTACTTACTTTTACTTTAGTAGTTACTTGAATGAATGCGCTCTACAACCTCAATATCTGAGGGGTCATTATTTGCTTAATACATTTCCATATTTTTAAGCTTTTTTAATCAAAGTTTTCTCAATGACTATGATCTTGAAGAAGCCTAATGCTTTACAAAGAAAAGATATTTTAATGACAATTTCTACAATTGAAGTTACAGTTACCTTCATCTGATGGCACATGTTACGGTTGTATGATGCTATCAGTTGCCTTTCTCCCACCCTAGAGATTTTATATTTCGAATCAAAAGTGTTGAAATTGGCGCTACTTGGCAATGAAGAGTCGCATTAATACGGAACGTAATAAGGTTCTATCATTACTAGCCACATTCATGACGACTCATACATTTGAGGTTCCTGATGGATTAGTGTGTATGAAAAGTGAGATAAGCTTAGCTTTAAGATGGCGTAGGTTACGGGTGTCTCGTGGCTCCAAACTACTAATATGTATAGTAGAGCTTAAGACTAGATGTAACTTGGTTTTCTATTAATACAGGGTATCGTCTATATAAGTACAGTATTCCTTATCTGGCGCCCGGACTCCAACGTGAATAACATTACATAAGCATTACAATTTATTAGAGCCTCGTACTAATCTAGAGGTCTGCCAATCTTGGAGCCTCACATTGACCAGCCTCCCAATTATTTAGCATAAGCTAGTGAGCCGTGTCCTTCGCTTAGATGTTGTAATTAGTTTAAAATAGCGCTCTGATACTAAATGGGTTTAATCAACAACTCTCCACTATAGTTTTCAGACTCTCCAATCTCCCAACTCGCTTCACTAGGTGATATTAAATACAAGCCCAACAGCTTACGCTTCTCTATACAACTTCCATTGCAACAAGAAGGACCCTTGATTTGTCCCTAAGCCTAAATGAAGGAGGGTAGAGAGCTCTACTGTTAGATATATGTAAGTCTTTAGTACCCACTAGGCAGGTCTATTGGAACGATTCATGGAACAACTGTGATTTTAAATTTAATCCTCATTTCAGTAGTGGGAGAGCCTGGACGTCAGTGAATTTGGGAGTATTATTAGCTGCCATATTCTTGCAAGGCCGTTTTTGGATTGGTTGGAGAGGAGAGACAATGAATGATCAAATGAAGACTTGGAGAGGTAGGACAATTAGATAAAAGCTACAGGGGAATCAGTGGAAGTGATACGCTATTTGAAGCATTGGCATCTTTGGTCTGAAGGTGAACAACCTAAATATCCTGACAGAATAGAGAGATAAAGATGAACATACTACAGAATCATAAAACTTGACTAATGTACATGTGAGTTGATATCATCAACAATTCATTAAGGATTTATTGTACAAAGGGTTTTTACCTACTAGAGAGATCCGATTATAATAAGACCCTCAGTCTATGGTTGAAGATAGAAACAAGACAATAATCTATATTGGCCAGCGGCAACACTTTGTGAAAGTTTACTGTATATTCTAGGCATGTGTAAATTAAGAATAATTCTCAGGCATTTATTCAAGGCAGAAATCTAGATTTGTGAAAAGGTATTTGAAGGCCAGGGTATTAATCCTCAATGTCGTCTGTCGACCAAACATTAGAGATGACCTGAGACATCAAAGCCGCTCGGATGGAGCTTTTTCTGTGTATCTTAATTCTTGAATCTTATATACTTGGACTGCGCACTAGATACGGTGGCTCACGACAGCGCCACACAAATGGATGCCTTCAATTTAGAATCTCTACGTTTACGTTTGATCCTGATATTAGGGTAGGCGGTTTAGATAATCCGTATTTATGAAATAAGAAATGTTCGATTGATATTACTTGGTTATATACAACTATTACATATTTTAAGGTAAACACATTCAAAGATTGATTGAGCTACTGGTACTGCAGAGTCAGATGATGGAAAAAGATCATTATCTATCGTTAGTTTGAGCCGCTGGTTGAATCCTCGGGCTCAAGTAATATTAATGCAATCAGTACTTTATAACTCACTGTATGTACAGAATAGAAGAGAATTAAATTTAGGTCACTGCTAAGTCTATTACTATGAAGGACTGCTAATACCAGATAAAATGCTACCAAAGTTCACATGATTTGTATGTGCTTTATTATCAATTTTTTCCATTAGACACTGAGGATCCTGCTCTAAATGTATATACAGAAATCGGGAGAGAAAATAAAGGTCTTTATGTTAGAAGAATTCAATGCATCGCTTAGTTCAGGAGTTCTATGATAAAGAAAATCTAGTCCAGCCAGTTTGATAGAATTAGAAGTTTTTGACGTTGAAACAGGTATACAGCATTTGACCAATATTTTATTAAATGTCACGTAAATTAAACAAAATTACACCGTATAACACCTGGCCTTTTCTAGACTAGTGGGCCTTAACTTTCAAGAGGAAACCGCGGTTTATTGGGTATATTGTGCACGTTTGAATTATTTGTATTTTCAGGTTCAGGTGATTGGTTTCCCGTACTCATATCATAGTTTGAGATGGCAATTTGAGGGTGCGTTTGTATGGTAGAGGCGTGCGGTGGACTAGCTCCATATTCGCTAGTACTTCCAAATTTTTCGAGTTCACTTTCCTCTTCTTTTTGGATTGCGCCAGTCGTCCGGCTAGTAAATCCTTTGGCGCGAATCTCCACAAGATCCCTTTGTATTTCATCACGTTCTTTCTCCATCTTGGCATCGTAGGCCTCTCGTTCAAGTCGGCCTCTACGACGCGATCGGTGGCAGGTAAAAAATGCAATAGAGAGCAGCAGGGCCATAATTCCGCCACCGGCACAATATATTGCCAGCTTTGTACCAGAGGGAAGGGCTGCAAACCGCTCAGCTACGGTTGGTGGAGGAGGCTCATCGGCTTTGAGAAGCACTTTCAAAGCTGTTGAGTTTCCGCTTGAGGATGTTAGTAAATTGAGCGTGGTTAATGGCTTAAAACTTACGGCACCGCTTTTATAGATTCCCAACTACCAGATCGATCAGTCCATTCGTACTCCTTACCAGAGCCGAAATCTGATATCTGTGCGCTTTGGATTTCCATGGTAAAAGGGCCCTTGCTAAAATCAGTTAGGCCGCCGGCCCAATCAATAGTTCCAGCGTTATTGGCCTTGTCTCCACCGGGCCAGATTCCGAGGCGAATGGTAGCGGGGGTCTGTGGATAGTTGTGCCCACCATTAGCCTCAGCATAAGGGAGGGTACGAATTAGGTTAGAATCAATCCACCATTCCAACTTTTCAGAAGTCCAGTGTATTGAATAGTTGTGAAAGTCGGCCTGAGGATCAAACGAGACAGGATGATAAACAGCCCGGTCAAAAGATGTAATATTTCCTTTACCAAAGTAATTTGACTCGACATGCGTGTTGTTACCTCCTAGGAACTCCCAATCTACCTCATCTAGATCTTCCGATTGCAACACAATGGAAGAAATTATTCCTTGGCCGGAGGCAGCCTTCATTATAACGCTGACTGATCCAAACATGATATAAAACTTTGATTGAATTGTAGGAGAGTCTCCTCTTTTAGAGACAGTAAAAGCTGCGTTACCAGTGCCATACTTTAGTGCTCCAGCGGTAATATTGAATGAATTCGTGACAGTTGAGGATGTGTTAAAGATAAAATTACGACTAGTTCCAAAAGCAGGATTGTTTGGGCAGGTTTTTTCCATTGGATTGCATTCTGTCCATGTTTGTGCTTGCGCTAGGGGGTGTATAACCAACGCTCCAAAAAGGAGCAAAAGGGTGCGCATCGTAAGAGAATGAAAGAATGGTAATTGAAAACGTATGGAATGATTTGGACAAAGGAGTGACAGCTTTCAGACGATGAGAATTAAAAAAGAGTGAAGACGAATGTAGATGTTCTACCTGACATGATCATTGTAGGCCGAAGAAGGGGCCACAAGAATGCCCATGTAATATTACACCAAGAGTCATGTGAGCTACTTATGCCATATTATGTCATGAACCCAAATTGGTATTTTGCCAGGAGCTTGGGCCTTTAGCATGTTATACTTTGCTGTCAGTGTTTCCCGACCGAAATAAATCATCGGTTGAAAGATTATTGCAATTAACAATACGATATATCATTCATATGTATGATTTTAATCCTCTATAATCCCAGAAAGCCTCGAGTTCAACCGGGGCTAGACATCTGTGCCCGGGAAGCTTACACTCATAGGGACAGATTTGAAGGTGATTACTTTGCCTCTTCCACAGTCTATGATTTTGTTGAGGATTCAAGGATCGTTTGACCCCTTACATGAGAGCCGTAAACGACAGATAGTCTAGTAGGCCTGGGAACAGAATCTCGATTTGATTTAGGAAGTTAGAGAGTAAAGATCAGATCGCTTTACAGTCGCACGGCTGGCGAACCACAACTTAGTGGATACTGTGAAGCGCCAGGTTCGAGCGCCTTGTGTAAGCTACTGAGCAAATGTCCACAGGTAGGGAAGAGTATGAATTTTGCTGGTGTTATTCCTGGATCACTCGCAAAACTCCACCCGTGACCCTCAGCTGCGCTGACCCGAATATTTGCAGAATAACCCGGTAATGTACAGTACCGCGTAGCCCAGAATAATTGATCTATAGAATTCACGCAGATCTTTTTACTCTGGGATTTTAAGCCTAATCTGAAACATATGTCAGTGACAAAATGTCACCTTTCGTGCCCTTGCAGTCTGTGCAAGCTCTTGGGCCTTTCTAGATCTACAAAAGTTGAACTATGCAGGGGTAAAGGACAGTAGGTGTATGTGACCTTACACCATTAGGGTCACAAGAGTGTTGGTGCCTGAAGTATGGGATTCCATGAGGTTAGTAAGATACGCATTCTAGCCGATCTCCCGTCCAGTAGCGTAATTTGCTAGTACTGTAAGAAAGAGAGAGAGGTGTGTTTATTGTGCTACTTGAGTCTGGCTATCTAGCACATTGGCTCCTCTCTAGCTCAGGCCACACCTTGTACAGTGCTTCTATCCTCCTTTGATACTTGTAAGATCATTGATATATTGCCCGTGATGAACAGCCATTCGGCTCAGTATTTAACCGTGGAATTCGGCCACCTTTTCCACGGAACTTTCTACACAAAAAAATGGTAGCAATGGAAACTGCGTGCGCGGGGAAAAGTCTCAAAAAAACCTGCAGCCCCAGCCAATTGAGGCCTAGACACCGGGACCACATGAGGTGCGCATATTCATCAATATCTCCCTTCTTTGTAACAGTTGAGGCCCACTTGATCCAATCCACCATCTCTGTATCTGGTGCTGGGTACGCTCCGGAAACTCATCGGGTGGCTTCTCCTCGATGGTAATGGTGATAGGAGGATATGCTTAGGGATAAAGATGATACAGACCGCGAAAGCGGTTGGGAATCCCCATCGAAGTGAGGACTTTGTTCCCCAATCTCAGCTCTGCAGCATCTACAGTGAGAGCTGGAGGTTCGTAGGGTATACCACTGACAGGTGTTGGGAATAGTCCCCCTAGTACTGCAAGAAGTTTCCATAATAAAAGGGTTTTTTAATAATAATTTTAAATCATTTAATGTGTAAGCAGCTATCTAGCTATGACACATGACCCTAACTATGTATGCATATTGGATGACTCTTATGGCGTTAGAAACACTCATACCTTGGATTTCATTCGCAAATACCATTACGAGGTATGCTTAATAAAAGGGAACGACTTATATGATAGAATCTGGGAAACTCTTGAATCCCCCACAGATGAGTACCACTTATTAGTACTTGAAAAATAAATAGTCAAGTAGTTCTAGCTAGCGCTATCCACGACTTATCTCTTTGGTAGTGAGAAACAATGCTGTCAATTGATATCATGCGAAACAGTCCGAATTTTACAATCTCTAGTTCGATTTGAGGATTGTTTGAAATTAAATATCGATGCATCGCGGGCTATAGAGTTGGAAGCCTGATCAATAAAAAAAAGCTCGCCTTAGACACGATTTTTCTTATTCGAGTGAAAGAAAATTACATCGTCTGAATATTACAAGATCCATATTCTATCGCCTGATTTTCAACTGTTTTAACCAAACATACCTCGAGAGCCCAGGCACTACCCAATACATAGCGCGTCACAGAAGGATAATGTAAGTTGTATATTTTTAAGGAAATGAGCATTCCATCTGGTTGCGGTCACATCATTTTATGAGGCTTTGTAGTCGTAGAATTATCAAATGAAAAGGCACGCAAGTAGGAAAGAGTTCATTATGGAGTGTATAGATTTGTTAATCTAAGAGGCTTTCTGTGAACTGGCACTGGCAAATAACAAGTGACACTTTTTCAGCAGAGCCTGATAAGTTGGATAATATTTTACGGTGCTAGGTACAAGCCCTGTATCTAATTTGGCAAGACACGAGTAGTTGCTCCCAAGAGATTAAATACTATCAAGATGACCAATTCAATATCAACTAAAAAAACACGTAAATAAACCGTCTAGATTAGGTGCCCTGCGCCTCGACTCAATCCCTAATTGTTGTCCGCCAAGTGATCAACTTATACGTCAATACCCTGGCTTGCATTAATTGTTGCTGTTGTGTCCAAATCCTTCTTATCACATCTCCATCCACCGATGCAAGGGAGACTATTCTCATAATCTTTCGGTGGTGTCCCCTACCAGCCTCCAGCTCTCACTGCAGGGTCTGCAGAGCCGAGATTGAGTAACACCATCGCCACACTGATGAGGATCCCTAATCACTTTCGCGGTATTTATCATCTTCATCTCTCAACACAAGCCTCTATCATCATTATCATAAGGCCTTAATGATTAGGTTAGATAGTAGGGTCGAAGCCCTCATCATCAACGACCCCTCGTCATGGTGGGGAATGCAATCTGATGAGCTTCTGGAGCGTACCCCGTACCCTACACGGCGATAGCAGATAGGATCAAGTTGACCTTCAATGTTTGAATAGAGAGTTTTATAGGTGGATATGCGCACATCATGTGGCTCCGATGTCTGGTCCTCAGTTGGTTGGGGCTGCAGGTTTTTTGAGATTTTTTCCCGGGCACGCAGTTTCCATTGCTACCATTTTTGTCTTTTTTTATTTGGGTAGAAGGTACTATGGAAAAGGTGGCTGGATTCAACGGATACAAACTGAGCTGAATGGCTATTCATCACGGGCAACATATCAATGATGTTACAAGTAACAAAAGAGTTAAGGAGTAATGTACAAGGTGTGACCTGGGTCAGAATGAATGAATATATATTTGTGATGGGCACAAGTCTAGCACTTATAGAGCATGACACGGAGAAGGCTAGTCCTTCCCCGACGACTATGTACGACGATAACTAAGTTTGACATTTGAACTACTCATGTAGTAGTTGCATTCGCTCATACCTGTCGCCGGATCAATTGATGTTAATATACAGCAGACCAAGTCCTGAATAAATTCACTTCATTAATGAAATCTAAAAAAAAGAAGATTGCCTTCTAATCGCTGCTTACTCAGGGTATAATAACTATTAACGCCGACCATAACGACCTATGTTACTAAGCAACTGTATCCAGACCCCCACATTGGTTGCCTCCGTAGCTAGCTTGGATCTGTATTCCATCCCTGACGTACTGGTGAAGACAGCGCAACCCCAAGAGGTTATTCCCGTAACAATGCCTCTCGAGACCTTTGTGCTAGGGACTTTCACCCTTCCCTCAACCGCTATTATCCACCAAAGGGAAAGCAGTAAAAACCTTAAACTACCCTAGTATGCTTTTGCCATCTTGTATATAGCCACCGCGCGAGATATGGCCTCATAGGCTTCCATTTCTCGAGTAAGGTAGGTTTCCAGGCTACCCAGACTTTAATTCGGGGAGATGACAGCCAGAGTGCGGACCAAAACACCATCTATCGTTGCCTATCTTTAAATAGTCAGTAGCAATATCCAAACTCGTAGCCTCGGCGCTCAAAAGTCCTCCAAAGTCGAAAACACTCGGAAAATATGCGTCCCAATATGCCCATTTGTGACCTCTTCACTCGTTAGTCCCACGTCCCAGCTGCCTGTCCTCCCTCAAGATATGAAGCCCCATTAGAGCAACGGACCCTCATAGACCAAGACCCGAGTTTTGTCGATTATGACTCAATTTCCTCCTCGCGGGTATACATAGCATCGTAACTTTGTAGTGGGAGATGCCCGGTTTTTGATGAGGCAAATTCCCGGTTGTAAATGGAGTAATGTCTTTATCGGTAGCTGAGACGAGATATTATAGTTTGTTTGTTTGTGTTTATTGTTCTATAAAGTCTATGACTATGTAAGTCCTTTCTGACTTGAGGCCGGGAGTATCATGCCTCGGGGAGTATACTCCCTCCTTCATAACTTCTTTCCAGCAGTATTACCCCCACAAGTCTTCATTTAACTACAAATAAGAAGATTCATTATCTCGTCATCATCTCCCCTCTTCAGCCAACAAAACGATAGCTATTTGGGGGTGTATAGCTGCAAGGAAAATTCTCAAAACCACTGGGTGCGGGCTCTCCTCATACGAAGAAGCCGACCAGCCAGGCTAAGCAGACCTGTGTATACCTAAGAACGACTCTCAACCTTCCAAGCCTCCTTTTGATTTCTTTCTTGATTCATGCCGCAAGCAGAGCGAAGGTCATGAAAGGATGTCAGAAAAGTCTTGATCGAGAGTAACTGCCGCAAAGGAGCCTAGCCTAGCATCCAAAAGTCGTTACGGACTTGAGGTTTCCGGGTAACTCATGTATTTCAGATACCCTCCTGGCTATTAGATTCGGAATTAAAGGCTTGAAGAGACGATATTATTGACGAGTCGAAATCTGAATTTCTTGAAGGCGGAAGAGTCTTTACTTTGGTTTCGTGGGCTTTTTATTCGCTCGCTGGTGGGTAGCACATGTTGTGATATAAGGACAGCTTCTCTGATTACCGTTGTAGCGTTTGGTACCGCATTATCTTTCCTCATTCCCAGCATCATCATCGTCGTCTTGGTCGTCTTGTGTGTTATCATAAGCGTATCTCTGACGGAGAGGTAGATGAATCAGCTCAAAGTTGAAAAGGCGTTACTCAATCTCGGCTCTGCAGACTCTACAGTGAGAGCTAGAGGTTCACAGGAGACACCTCTGACAGGTGTTGAGAATAGTCCCCCAATATAGAAAATAAAGTGGAAGGTTTTGGGATTTTTCACCAATTGGTTTCCTCCCATGTAAATTAGAAAGAGTGATAGGGACCTGCATGAGCCCATAGGGCGCCAAATCAGGACAATGAGGCCAAATTCAAAATCTCTCATCAATTTGGCATTATGTCACGTGAAAACCCCGAACTTGTAATTTGAGTTATCAACAACATCAAATTTTCAATAAACATCTTACGTCACACTTGCATCTATCAGCTTCACAATGGTTGTTCCAGCTGGATTACACATGAGTGCCCCCTCAACATTTGATAAATGTAGGTTTAAGATTAAAAAGCATTAAAGCTGTGAAGACCCTGGATTGCTAAGAAACCAAACAGTCAAAATGGGTGCCATGATGGGCAGCAGTTAGTCTCTGTTTAATCTCTGGTTATAAGCGCGCTAAATTAATTCCAGCCGTTGGCTTAATCATCGGCTTTATATTTGGTGAATCTATCGAAGACAAAGTGGTCAAATTTATTAACACATCTAGGATCTGTCAATATCATGCGATTTGGAGCTGGACCAAGCGGTATTACTCGGACTCTTGGGAATTATATGATTGGATCAGGTGCCACATTTGGGTACTAATCTTCACTTTGACCTCGACCGAAAAATTTATGCTAAATATACCAGATTCTTCATGTCAATTGGAAGCATAATCAGGACAGATACGGTCTCTCAACATGCAATTAATTCTTTTGCTCTATCTCGTGGTCAGCCCATTACTTATCTACCTAGGAATAAGATGTATCAAAATCGTCACTAGAAGTCGTGTAAGGTGAGAAGGCATAAATTCAAAAAGAAAAGTTTAACCCTCAAAACTTGATGGTACTGTAACTTCTGAACCATATATACATTGCCATCAACTCAAAAGAATTGATTCCAAACTTTACTTATGATTTGATGGAGACATTTCGTAAATCGCATTAACCATCATAAGATGTTGCACAAGGCTACCTACAATCGAGTAAATATTGGAATGCGGATCTGTTTTTTTCGAAGGCGTAAACAGCCTTCATAGGTGCAAGCTCTAGGATCCAGACTCCAATGTAAGTTAAAAAGATCTTATCTGTTGGAAATACAAAATTTTAATACCTCCGTTACGGATTCCATCGCTTAGGGTAGATAATAAAATTTTTTTCTTATGCTAGAAGCAGGCGTTCGGGAAATGTAGGCAAAATCACAGGCCGTACACAACGCAACCTTCGATATCAAAAGATCTAAACCTTTTCATCCCAAACTATTGGTATTCTCCATGTCAAGGGCATGGAGTGATATCAAGGCTCAGTACGGAACTTACATTACTTCATTTGGCTTCAGACTGATTTTTTTTTAAATCATTTAACGTGTATTCAGTTATCTAGCTATGACACATGACCGGTGCTTTGATTACATGTTGGATGACTCTTTTGACTTTAGAGACACTCATACTCTGGATTTCATTTGCAAATACCACTATGAGGTATGCTTGCTTACACAAACAGTCGACCCTCCTCCACAAGTACCCACCAAAGGGAATTTCAAACCCTTTGATTATCCAAGCATGCCTTCATCATCCATGCAAACCAGCGCCGCGAGAAATGTGGTTGTGTTTTGCCGGATTTGAACCAGCGATCTACTTTCTCGAATGGGATATGTGTCCGAGCTATCCAGACTCTACTTGGCAGATCGGCCAAGACGATGTACCACCGCACCATCCAACCATGGCGGTATTTACAGTGTCTCCTGCACTCTACTTGGTCATCAGTGCACTAGCAAAAGCCAAGTCACGATAACCTCCCCCTTGGGACTAATGCACCGCTGAAGAGCATGAACTTGTAAACCGCGTGGCAAAGGACCGAGCCACTTAGGTCCAGAACTTTCATACCAAGTTCTGAACAGCTGTTGAAGAGGCAGATCCTCTCATCAAATCTTTCATACGCGAACAAATCGAAGTTTCACGCCTTGCAGTTGGCTCTGGAAACCCTTCGCGACACTCCACTCCGAGACATCCCAAACCGTCGGGCTCCTTACCCACGCCTAGCGAAAGAATTCCATCACGCCATCCCGTTTCTGTAACTGTTAAATTTCAGAAAATTTATCTGTATTTTTATCACTTGCCTCGCTTAGTGTTCTACAATTTCTCTAATTATTAACCCTCTATAAGATATTCCTTAAAAACTAAGATAATAGTGATAATTATCAAATCGGGAGGGCTTCTATAACTAAATAACTTCAGAGAAGACAAGGAAATTAGTAGAGTGGAGGGAGGTTAGAAAGAATGAGAAGCGATAGTATTAAATTGATAAAGAGTGAGCAGACAAAAACAACTGAGGACAAATTTTCACTACGCTGCCACTCTGCATGAGTAACATTATTATCGCGACTCATTAGTGTGGCCTTGACTGGCCCGGCTAGCTTTTACACCAATCAAACGCGCCCTATCTTCTAACAATAATTATATATAAAGTCTTATTGTAAAGAAACTGATTTCGAGAGTAAATATCCACACGCAGCTAACTAAATAGCTAGTATGTATTATACTCTTAATTCCACTGTCGCTTAAATTTACAACAGCAACAAACCAACAAAAAAACTTGGGAGGACGAAGGCTGAACACCTGTCAGTGGTGTCCTCTACAAACCTGTGAATGAAATATTCTCCCAGAGCCGAGATTCAGTCTCGAAAAAGGGTGAATTTGAGAGTTTTCGTCGAGTTGGCGACCGGGAGGAGTGGTGTTGGCTCATTTTTGGTCGAAAATACAACTTGCAGAGATTTCACCACTACACAACTCAACGAAATCAACCATCTACACCCCAGATACGAACCGCAGACAGCCTATAACCTGTCTGATGTTTGTATTACAACAACCGACACCTTCAAGATCTTATTTTCTTTTTCTCTGGAAGATCATTCACAGCCAAACTCATCTCGCGGCCCTCTCCACAATCATCTCATGACCTACCAAAGCAATCCCATACCTCCAAAAGCCAAATGGCCAACTAAGAATCAAGAGGATATCCGACACTCCGCAACTGCCAGTCGCTGTGAAGGTACGGTCGAAATACCTGCCTTAGATGCGTCCTCACCTCGGCCAAGGGCACCAACAACTCGACCTGCAACGAATTGCTACCGACAAAATACGTACGACATTTCGCCGGTACACCAACTAGAGCGTTCGTCAAAGGCTGGGGCACCGGTGCCTCGGCTTTGAGCTCTCAGTCGCGTTTTCGACCTCCACAGTTAGGGGTACGGCAGCGACAGGGCAAGGCCGGAGGGGTGGACATTCTACAAAGTTTCTGGGATGACGAGATCGGCTTAAGGATAGAGGGATGCTACATAAAGGAACAAAAGGGAACATATACTGAGGAGGCCTTGGTGGGCGACTGGATGAGGTCTCTGTCAAAAGCGGCACGTAGACAGCAAAGCAGAGACAAGGATCAAGTCATGGATTGTCACAGACCAGTTTGTGATATTGTATTGCACCTGGCCAACCGCCCCATGAATACACTCAGGAATAGGGTTAGTGCGTTGCAATGGTTACAGTGTTGTGATAGCAACAGTCACTAGTCAAGATACTGATCAGTTGCTATGTAACAGCTGTGGGCTATTGCACCCTTGATTGTAGTGACCGGTCTCAGGTACTTAAGGAAGCTCTTGGGATGTATTTGTACTGTAGCTTTTTGTCTTGTATTTTATCTACATCTTAGAATCTCGCCTCTGTCCTAAGTCCTAGTCTTCGTCTCTGTCCTAGTCTCTGTCCTCGTCTACATCTCGTCCTCGTCTCAATCTCTGCCCCAATCCCTCTCCTTATAAGTCTCCTGTCCTCCGACCCCTGACATTGATCAAGACAGGAATGCTAGTCAAGAGGTTGCTATCCTACAATATGCATGAGATAGGTGCATAATCACTCGGCCAAAAGGCCTGACCAGAATCATAGAACACTAGGTCCTAGTTATCTCCACACGTATAGATTATACAGTAGGCATTCCTGACAGCTTTCAATGAAGAAAACGACCCCTGGATGAGATGAGGAGATGCTGAGGTGAGCCAAAGCTGGGAATGGATCGAAGGGAAAAGTTACAGATTGCGGAAGTGTCAAGGGCTCGGGCGCGCGGTGGCCGAGGCAGAGGAGGGATTTGCGCTTCGGCGCACCAAAAGGGGGTTCTCTGAACAGTTGGGCTTGACATGACTCAACACATGGGTGAAGTCTGAGGTGGTCTGGTCATTCAGGTGGGACGAGGTAGATGTACTGAGTGGTGGTTAACCTGATCCAGCCCGGCCCCACCCGTGCTTAAGTTCTAGGAGGAGTGCACTGGTAGTCACTTAACCTGTTGCAGGCTGTGCCCAGTTTGGTTAGGCTGGGCTATCTTTCAGGTCAAGCCTCGTTCAAGGACACTAACTACGTGATCTTTAGTAGAGTTTCTCCCAACTCGAATCACTCGGCTAATTATGCTGAGGCTGGTTAACAGATCACTCTGTAGCAAAAGAATACATGTCGGGAAGCTCGATCACTGGTGGTGGCAGCAGGCTTATTTAATGCAGAGGACTTCCTGTAGTAAATCTGTATAGAAAAATATTGACTCTTTGTGGTACTGCTTACACGCAGTGTCCGTAATTCTCTTCGCCCTCAACATAACCTAGCACAAAAATGAACAAAACAAAAAACATGTTACGGTTTCGAGGGGCAGGTGCTGGGGCAACTATGTGGTCGATGATAGTAAATAATAATTCTAAGGAGAGAAATTCCACTACATCTATCTATTCATATATATATGTGAAAGCCTCCTCGCCACCGAGGCTAATCCCTGTCCTGTTCCTATGCTGTGGGACTCCCCTAGTGTTCTGACTATGCCTGTAATACAGTACTATTGTGTTATGGTCCGGAGGGATTGTACTCGGTCTCGTATATTCTATTCATTGTAAGCCTATCAATATGTGGTACAGTGCCGTAATGCCGTGCTGCACTGCCGAGTCTGATGCCATATGAATACCATGCAAATGCCGACACAAAAGTATTGTATTGGATGGCGTCGCATATTAGGGCATTGGTAGTCATTAATAATGCTACTCGAATTAAGCCTAAGTTAACCAACATAGGCTGTAGGGACCAATCGACTTACCAGCCGTTACAAAACAAAACAACAAAAAACTTGGGCTATAACTACAGCAGGCCCATCTGCCTCTTTGCCTCTGGCCTAAACACAAGTCAACGCTAACAGCCGACCCTCTCACTCTACTGCTTCAAAACAAATAGAAGATTCCGAGAAACTCAAAGCTGTCTTTTGCCTGTCCTAAGAAGCACTTTTTCTTAGGGCAGATGCAACATCAGTTAAAGCAGCTCTGATACACATTGTTCCAGACATTAAGGATGATAATGATTCAGTTTCCTGTGCCTCGAGCAGATTCAGCAATGAATTTTTGTCTGCCAAATTGTTGAAACTTGCAGTCAAAAATTCCGACTCTGTGAAGGCTTCTTTATTAGGGGCTCTTCACGAATCTGAGGACTGTATTGGGTATGTTTTCAAACGCATCCAATGTACCTTTTGGAATCCCGTGTCTAACCTGGTACTCACCAAAATTGATGATGTCAAAAGTATTGCTCAGACTCAGACAGTTGTTGCTCCATCTGGTGTCTACTGGTTGCAGCATAAAGAGTGTCATAACCATCTTTCCACAATAGTTATATCCTTCCCAAAAGAGGTTTTTACTTTTCGAATAGTTGACAGTGCCCCATGCCAATGTGTTACAGACTGAACAATATGGAGATGGTATCCTGCCAACCTC